GCACCCCGAAAAAGGAATTTCGACTCAGATTGCACTATGCGCTCTATCTTTTTCATTTTTTGAACCTAAAAGTTCAGCCTCGTATGTGTGATGTCTCTATGGTGACATATCTGATCATACACTGTCATAAAGTGAGCCACATGGACTTCATTTCAACACTAATATTGAATAGCTGTTTAGTGGATGGACTGGCTCAGCCGGAAACATTTCAATACTCTCTCATCTACATTTCTGCACTTTTGAAATTTCTTCAGGGCAATGGAGGTATTGAAGATTTTTATTTCAAAAGATTCCACTATGTTAAATTTCGTACTTTCTCATTAGTACTGCCTCTAGATTTCAATGGAGTTTATTTTCCTTAACTCGCATCATTTCAGCCATGGGCGGATTTCTTAATACAATGCGATCCTATTTATGGATCCCTATACAGCAGTACACTACCAGGGAATTGGAGGTGAGGTTTAATCTGAAAGTACATTTCTTTCCGGAACTCCTCAATGTCCTGTCCCATAATAGACATTTTACATCTAAACGGTGAAATCACTGTGAGGCTCAAAAAAGCCCGAAGACATAATTTGCAGTAGGCCAACTGAATGCTACGGAGCAGCACAGCTGGCGTATTCTTACGAATGTTCAAGTTGCAACAAAGTTCCTGCTTGATTAATTGCTTATTTTACTTATTTTAATTATTTAATTATTTGGTTATTTTCTCCCCTTTGAGAAGAGATGAACATTTTTTCCACAGGTGGAGCTATTTGCACATCTGCACTCTCTGTCATTGCGATGGCATCTTTCTCGGAAAACTGGACTTGTCCTCCGTGTAATGGACAGAGGCACCAGTTCAGTGAACAGCATTTTGAAGTACGTTTCGCTTATAACTTGTTCATTTTGCTCAATGTCTTTCATATGCATGCTCACTATTTCCTACGGAATTTGCTCTGTGCGATCGTTTTTGTCTGTTCTGTTGTGGGGCAGAATGGGGTAGTGGCAAATAGCACGCTTATCGCGCGGTACCAGACTTGTCTGGGAGGATAAAAACACTGACTTGTACATCGGCTGGCCCCCGCAAGTCATTGTATAGGCCACATCGCATTCAAACGCCACTACGAATGTACAAATGGAAGTAGAATGCGTGCCGCATCCCAAAAAGGGATTGATCAACGGCAAATGCTTTATCCTTTATCCTTTATCTGTTGTCGTTCACCTCCCTTCGTTTACTTTTTTAGTGCTGAATTCCTATAATGATAGGTTTCATTAATTTGATTGATCTTCAGCTACATCTTATTCAATATCGTTCCAACAATTGCGGACATTATTATCGCTGTGGTATTCTTCTTCTCGACGTTCAATTTCTATTTTGGTGGTATAGTGCTTGTGACAATGGTTTTGTACCTTGGTGAGTTTC